CCTAATAAGGCCTTGCAATTCCCTCTGAAGACAAGTAGAATAGGAGCAGCCGTGTCTGAAAATGGTGCTGGCAAGGACAAGAGGTAGACAAGAAGGCAGCGTAGAAAACCCTTGAATGCAACAGTTTTGTGCCATGCAGCTTTTCCGTAACGAGTTCGGGAGAGTTGTCAGTGCTCGACAAAAGAGATCACATGGATGCGATTTCAGATGTTATCACACCCATGGGAGCTGCGCAGAAACTGAGAGAAGAGGCCGCGCATCTAGCAGCCTCATACCGTATTAGCTCCCACAGAGAGAGAAATGACTAGAGATGCACTGTACTTGTCATTCCTGCAAATGTGACATGCACAGTTCTTGGAATGTTTGACTAGGAAGGTGATTTTTTTTTCACGGAGGGAAAGCCACCTCATTGCTTTTCTTTAGAATGCAAAGCTCCGTTCCTAAAAACTCTTCTGGGTTTCTGACTCCGTCTTATTCCAGTGAAGGGAAACAAGGTGGAGGAGGCAGCGGCATATCTCGCTGATCTCTAGCGGGACTCCTAACATCCTAGCTTGAGGTATTTGATAACAAACCCCGTTCACCTGTAATCAAACCCCAAGCAACCCTTTACAGCAAACATTCCAGTGCTAAACTCTTTTGGATAGCAGATGCCTTTCCTAAAATGGTGCATCTTTGGTTCCTCAGTGGAACAGGCTATGGCTATAGATCTGAATTGCTTGCTCAGTGTGTTATTGTGAAGCACTCTGGTAATCGTACTTGCAGGCACGGGAAAAATGCATCCTGCTGATTGAGGTGGTTGGTGAATTAAAGTGAATTAAAGTGGCTTGATATTGGCTGGCTCCACCCCCTCCCCTCGTAATGTGATGTTTTCCATATTTTTCTAATTTATTCGCTAGTTTGCTGTCTTTGCTCGCTTCTGTTGCTTGGATCTCCTGTGTTCACCTGTCATCTGCAACATAGTGCCTTGAATACTCTTTCACCCAGTGCCCAATGCCGTTTTCTTCGGGATGTGTTTTATTTTCCATGTTCCTTTCTCCCTGAAGGTGTGTCTGCACTTGTTGGATTCAATGTTCATTTCAGTTAACTTCCTGGCTAATCAGCTTCTGTTTCTTGTAACGCTTCTTTCCGTTGGAATATCAGAATGCTTAAAACATAACACACTGCCATTTAAGCAGCTTAACTTATATTTACCCCAATTCATTTGATACAGGGTGCATGTTAAATATAGAGAGGAGCGCCTTAAATTGAAACCATTAAAAAGCCAGGTTTGGCTTCCCCTGAAACAGAAGCATTTGTAAGGCGTGCAAAACAAAGGAGTGTATAAAACACTCAGTTGACATCAGGTTCTAATCAGGGGTGCCACAACCATGCAGTCAAAGCCCCACCATGATGCACATAAAAACCAGGTTGGGCTTTCATTGTATGGTCATGGCCACCATCTTGACTGCAGACACTTGTAACTCTAAACATGGAGGAAAAGAGTGGGAAGGATTGCACAGGACTCTATGTAATAATTGCAAGGTGTTATTCTTTTAATGACAAATGATAGGATGAATATGTCTTCCATCAATACGGATTGCTAACTTGAGCAACGCCTGGAAAGGTTGCCAAGTTCCTAGCAAGAGCTATGGCTTGTGGAAGTGGGTTGATCCTTCTTTTCATAATTAATTGTTTCAGGTTTGGTTTCTCTGTGCTTTAAAGTTTGTGTTTTATGGATCTGGGACAATAAAAATATTAAAAACTGAACAAACTGGAAAAAATAAGAAAAGGCATTTGGCAAAGAGGTTTTGGTATTTCCTACCTGCAAATGTGTTCTTTGGACATCATCTCGGTTTGCTGGAATTTATTTTCTTCCTAAAATGGTCTCTCCTTCACTCCATAGGAATAGCGTCCCTCTTATGTTGCTCCATATATATGAAGAGCTTTCTGTCTTTTCATAGTGGATTGCGATGGTGATGACTTGGATAGCTGGATACTTAATCCCTATTTTTAGGGTTTATGTTCCTCTCTGTCTCTGGTCTTGACCTGCAGGTGTTAAGCACGGAGTCCTACAATATGCTTCTCTGTGATGTTCCCAAACTTCTGATGATTGTTGTATCTATCTGTTTATAATAGGTATTTGATTCTTTGGTTCTTTCCTTGGACTTTGTAATGTGCTTAAAATTGGTGGTGGTGATGGTGGTTGACTTGCTTCCACAGCAACTTGGAGCCTCTTTGCAACTTTTCTATCCCCGCAGGTGCTGTCTATAAAGTCACCATCACAGGCCCTTCTCATGCTATAGAAAACCATCCTGTCACTTTGCGGTGTTCCTCTCTGGGTAGCAATGTTTCCTACTCCTGGTTGAAGGGAGGCCAGCTGATTGAAGCAGGAGGGAATACCCTTCTGGAGAGCAACAGCCAGACCCTCACGCTCCTTTCAACTTCTCGGAGTGACGCGGCCAGCTATACCTGCTCTGGGGAAAATAGCTTCTCTTCCAACAACAGTGAGCCTCACTGGCTTGAAATCTTCTGTAAGTTTAGGCTGGCAGGCTGGAGGCAGTGAGGTCTCCATTCCCACCCAGCCAGTAGCTAACCACCAAGTAGCCCCTTTTAATAGACTCTCGATAGAAGATAAATGGCTTTTGACACTCTCTCCTCCCATGTCTAACTCAAGATAGCTGGCTTTAGAAGGGAGGAGAACCAACCCAAAATAAATTTGCTATCTTAACCATGTGATTGGTTCTAGCCTCCCTTTCTTATTCTTGGAATGGTCGGTTGGTAGTTAATCTGCATCCGATGAGGATGGGACTTTGACCCTTCCATTTTGTGTATTTTTCCTGAACCGCCTACATGATGACCATCCATTCAGCCCAGGGAGTTGAAAGAAATTCATGCCGAATCTGAAGGCAGCAGGCAGGAAATGTTGCTGATTTGGGGTAGGATCCAGTCCTGTAACTGATTACCAGTGTCCAACAGACACAAAGCCACAGCGTGTGCTTTCCGTCAACCAAATTGGGGGTCCGTTTGACACGCTTTCATACCAAATCTGGCAAATCACAATAGTAGTTGTAGAGATCAAAGCAAATATCTTGTGTGTGACTCCCCTTGACCAGTAGCCTTGTTGGAAGAATGTCATTGTAGAGCTACAAACTTCTAACCAGCTGTTTGCTCCTCAAATGAATGCCGAAGGAAAAGCTTAACCATAGGAACCTTCCTCTTCATTTGAGCTTGAAATTTACACCTTGGCAAGTAAAAGAAGACCCAGGAAACTGGAGCTAATTAATGTTTTGAGAGGTTATTATTGTTGGATTTTATTCACACATCCCATAATAGTGTGCTCCCTGGCCTTCCGCTTCCTGGGATTTTTCTCTATAGAGCCAGCATATTGTTACACCAAAAATGTGGGGTTGTATTTTCAGACATAGTGCCATAGTAGCATCAATAGTTTGCTAAGTAGCGTGATCTTTTCCAACCTGTAACTTTCCTATGTTTGCTCCAGACGGGCCTGATCATCCCGTAATCAGCCCCCTACAACAAATTTATAATGAGCATTCCATCCTCATCCTCTTCTGCTCTGCCATCTCTAACCCACCTGCAAAATTTTCTTGGTATCTTAATGGGGAACTACTGGAACATCAGAATAATTCTCACCTGATCCGGCGTCTTTCTCTGAACAATGCTGGAAACTATACTTGTAATGTTACCAATGAGGAAAGTGGACTTTTCAACTACACCATACTGGAGATCAGCATTCTGGGTGAGTAGCTTGGATGCCCAAGCTCACTCATATCTATTGGAGGACTTGCTGTTGGTGATTCCTCTGGGTACCTTTTTGTTGTTGTGACTCTGTCCTTCCTTCCTGTCATCTTGAAACATTCTTTTCAGATCTCTGCATGGATATGATTTTGGACATACCTGCCTTTCTGTTTGAGTGTTCTTGTCATGGTACTCCATTCTGGTACTTCACCATGACTACCTCAACAGACTGTTCCTCTTTTGTTTTGATTTCTTTCTTATTCTAAACCTATGATCTTTGGTAGACTAGATTCCATCTGGTTCCTCCAAGGACCAAAAGTCATTCCACTTCAAAGGATATCCCCTATGCTGTCACCTCACCATGTCACCATCAGGGCTTCTCATTTATGATACCTCCAATTCAGATACTGGCATATTTTGAGTCAGTTCTGTTATTCAGGTCAAACTGAGTTCATTGCCTTGCCTTTTCCAATACTGTGACCTTGTATTTTCCTCCCTCTCAGCGTGAGAACCTGGATAACTAAAATCAGTTGTGCATTTTTATTTAGTCTTTTGTTCTTTTTTTGGGCACCCTCTTTAACCCTGTTTCTTTTATATCTTTGGCACTGAATGTTTCCAGCTGGCCAATTTCTGGCTAAGATTTCAAGTCCACCTATTAATATTCACTCTGATGCTATAGGTGCCAGATATTATTTTCTTCCATTTATTTATCTGCCTCAAACTTGCCTTATTTGGGGTTTACCTCCATCAGTTTCGCCCTTCATGGATGTTGAATGTCTCAGAAGTGGTTCAGAAAACCCTCTACTGCTTTGCAGTGAAGCAACAGATGCCTTGTTTCTGAAAATGTAAACCTTATCCTTCCTTTTTTCATTGCTAAATTTTCAGCTGAACTTTATTTTGGCCCCTTCTTCCCCCAAGCTTCCATTTTAGCAGTCATCCTCCACTGACCATAAGATGTACCTTGACAAAAATCTTGCAGTCCAGGAGAGGCGATTGATTTATATCAAAGTTCTCCATCCTTTTCATTCGGTAACCATTGCTTCATACCTCATGGCTGTAACACCTGATTGACCAACGTATCCTAAATGCATAGAGGCTCACCTCTCAGCCACGGATCTTACTGCACAGCCCCTTCTGAATGGAAATCTGAGATTAGATCTTGAAGTCCTGTGTCAATTAGCGACAATGAAGAAGAGGCCCACTTACATCAGACGTTTGTCTCAAATAACAATTACCCCCTGCTTCCCTTTTTTCTCTTTCTACAGAGGCCATCAAAAATATCACCATCAGTCACCCTGCCAAGATTTTCGAGACTAACACTACACATCTCAACTGCACAGCCTCAGGCTCTGATGTTTCCTATTATTGGCTTAAGGGGAACCAGAGCCTGGAGGTTGCAGACCATATTTTTTTAAGCAGCAATGGTCAGAACCTTACCTTGAAGCCAACAAAACGGCAAGACTCGAACCGCTACACTTGCTTTGGAAATAACAGCTTCTCTAGCAACTTCACCAGCTACACTCTGAATGTCCTCTGTAAGTCTGGTTTTACCGTTGAGGGATGATTGAGATTTGGGGATCTGGGGACCTAGCTCCCAAACAAGTGTGTGTAAGAGTCTAGCTTCTAAAGGGGGGAACGTATGACCAAGTTCTAACAGATCAATTCAGAGCCAAGGGTCCACTGTTCCCATTGCACTCCCTTGATCTGATCCCTTTTCTTCTGCATTTGGACCACCAACACTCCCCCTTGCAACACACCAACCACCACCGCTATCAAAATCCCTAGGGCAAGTGGATAGATAGATAGATCATCCTAGCAGGATTTACTTTGATTTGGAGCTGTACCAAACAGGTGAGTCAGTCTGAGAAATTGCATCATTCCAAAATATAATAACCTGATGTAGGAGGCCCTATCATTAGTAGACAGAATTAGATTTTCACCTCAGGCTGCATATAATAATGTCATGTTGAACCCTAATCCAAGGCAAGTGTTAAAGTAAGAGTCATCTGCCAGTTGTATGTGGAATGGAGAAGGACACCATTCTTTGTGTGAAGCTCCAAAAAACCCTGGGCCAACCATGTCAGTTTGAAGATTACTTGAAGGATCTGTGTGAAATGGAGACAACCTAGTAGTCTGGAACTCACCACCTGTATGGGCAGTAGGAGTCTCTCCAGCAGCCTGGACAGAAATTGTTTTCAAACTCTTAAAATGTCAAAAATTAACTAAACGCAAGTCCTTGTTTAAGCAAGCCATGCTTTACAACATTGGGTGGCATTCTGTACATCTTCTGATACCTGGAATGTGTAACCATGTTGCCAGAATGTTATTTTAGAAAAAAACATTTCTTCCTTCTTTTACACCAGGTTCCTCAACCTTGGTGACTTGAAGATGTGTGGACTTCAAGTCCCAGAATTCCCCAGCTAGCCATACCGGCTGGGGGGTTCTGGGGGGTTAAGTCCACAAACCTTCAAGGCGCCAAGGGTGAGGAAACAGGTTTTTCCACATCCCCTTCCCCAAC